TAATTGCTTAATTAAGGATAAAGTTGATTCGAGTTGTCTGAATCAGTGTGACGATTAACTCTGTCGTCTGTCTTTTGTCCGTGTCAGGAGATAAAATCGGGGCTCTGTGGGAGCCGGAGCGTCACTTGCTGAAAGCATTTCTTTCAAAAGAATGAATTTGCTGCTGATCAGACACCTTCCTGATGGTTAGCTAAAATAGCTTCCTTTCCATAGTACTGCATGTTGTAAATGCTAATTCCAAATCTTAGAATTTACAAATAACACAAGATACATGTAACCACTTTAAATCACATATAAAAGCAGTCACGGAGTAATAGATTAGTGATCCAGGCTTCCTGCTACGACAGGAAGTCAGCAATGTAAACAATAATGGAGTCTAGTAGGTTAGGGGGCGGAGCCAGAGCTTCAGTCTCACAGCATGGGGGTAGAGGTTATTGTGGACTGGACAGCGTGATGGTTGGTTCATTGTCTTTGTTACTTTTCCTGCAGTATATCCGTGGATATAAATATACGCAGTGGTATTAAACTGGTTTAATATACGCAGTGGTATTAAACTGGTTTTCGGTGTATTCCACTGTGATTACCTGCTGGTCGTGTTATGTGCCAGGTCTCTGACCCCAGACACCGAGGGAACACGTTGCCACTTCGAGGAGGTCCAGCACCGACCCTGCAGTCCAGGAACCTGCCCGCCTCTCTGTCTCCTTGACAACCAGACGCTCAGTGTGGGTGACACCTGGCTGCAAGGAGAATGTAAACAATGGTACGTTAGATAAGGACCGAGGATATGAATGTCAAAAACAATGAAATGTCAGTGATACTGTGCTCGAAGCTCTGCCTGTGTTTTTTCCAGCACGTGCACGCCAGAGGGCGTTTTCTGCCAAGACGTCGACTGCAGAGGTGCGTCGCTGTTTCTGTGAAAGAGTCGCAGATGTTTGAAGTCCTCGCAAAGAAAGTAGTGAAAATCCTTTGTGCTGTTTGCAGTGGACGGTGCTTGGACCCCCTGGTCGGTGTGGTCTGACTGCTCGGCGACTTGTGGTCGGGGCGCACACGTTCGAACCCGCGCCTGCATCAACCCCCCACCACGAAACAATGGGTCTCACTGCAGTGGGCCAGAGAAAGAAACACAGGACTGTCAGACCCCTCCCTGCCTGGGTTTGTGTCTTAAGACAAGGAAAAAAAACACATGTTCTCTCTAATCAAAGAGAATTTAATTTACTCTTGTATCAACAGATGACCTTTGCCCTTGGTCTCCTTGGTCACCGTGCTCCCAGACGTGCGGGGCGGGGTCTGTATCACGACACAGGGCGTGCGTGTGCGAGCAGGGAGGAGATGCGGCGTGTCCCCCTGAGATCGAGGCCGAGAGGAACCGTGTGGAGACGCAGCTGTGCTACAAACAGCCCTGTCCAGGTGCTCGCACACAAAACTCTCCAAAGACTCATCCTGGCAGCGCTGAAGCCACGATCATGTTTGTGCTGTGTGTGTTTCTGAGCAGCCGTTGTAATTAGAGGAACTTCAGCTGAGTCGAGGCTCATTAAACGATTGGATATAGCTGCAGTGATTGTTGATGAACAGTTATTCTAATATATTATTAGGTAATCTACACATTTTCAAACTGTTCTCTAGAGACTAGACTGGGGAACCACAAAGTGACATTAAAGGGTTTATTGGAGCTTTGTTTTTAGTGTCACATTGCATTATTAGGTCTCCATAGTGACTTAGTATGGTATTGATTTTCTGTTGAAGGATATATTTCAATTCAATTCAATTCAATT